AGATGCAGGAGTATACACATGTAGAGCCAACAATTCTGCAGGAAGTGTTGAAAAAGCACTTGAAATTACTGTTAAATGTGAGTATATTACTGAGTAGAACCCAACATTCCAAATACTATGACGACATTTCTTGGAACTTCATCACGCGTTGTCTTCTCCAATGTTGACCTGCTTTGAATTTTTATCAAAGCCATATGCATGTTGATTTTCCCGTGCTATTTTAGCTCAGGGTCTTTCTTTTTGTGCCTTACTAATGTTTGTTTTTGCTCCTCTCTTTTAAATTTGATTTTAGCTGTTGCTTGGTTCTCCTCGACCGGCATTGCATCCGCAAATTATTAACCTATATAACCTCAGGATTCAAACACATTAAAGGAGTGGAATAGCATTGGTACCCGTACGAGACATGTGTCTGACTTTCTCTTTTTTTCTTCAGCATCTCCCGAGGGTGTGAATAGGTTTTTGCGTTATTTGCGCATAATTTGTTTGCTGTTAAATTGGCCAATTTTTTAATGTTTACTGTTTTCTGAGGAAAAACTGTAAAATGTTCGGAGGTTTTTTCGTGAAAACACCTATCGTCTTTTAGCTTTGTCAATAAGAATTATTCTTATTTGCTCTTGGAAAATCCATTATTGAGCCTGTGCTTAAAGGGGCAGTAGTCTCTTTTGTCGACCCATGCTCAACAATATTCTGAGAAACATGTGGAATACTGGGGACTAGTTTCTTATCAACTGCTCACGATCTTTTGGCCAGCGTCGAGGGCGAGGTCGAATCATCACGGCGGCATCGACAGGTTTTCCCTCTGGTGTTGTTTAAGTTCCAGTAAACTTTCATAGAAGCGGATCGGATTCTTCATATGAAAGGCGTGGAAGCAGGTTCACTTTTGACCGCTCAAAGCAATCCAGCGTGGTAGCCTTCAAGAAAAATCTGACAGAATTTCTTGGGCTTAAGGAGCTTTCATTGAAATATTATCTGCACAATGTAAACAAAATACATCTTTCATATGTGATAAATATAAGAAAGAAATAATGTCGAAAATTTTCGTATTTCTCCTCTGACATCTTAGAAAGTCTACGGACATCCTCGGTGGTCTTCTGACATCTTTGGTTGTCTTCAAAATCTCCAGCCTTCTTCCGCAATCTTTGGAGGTCTTGGCAAATCTTCTGAAATAATCGGAAATTGTCCAAAAATGGCCGAAAACTCCTTGGTGTACTATACAAAATAGAATATTGGCCTTTTTGGAGCGTTTTTTGTTTCTTTTTGGAAAAAGTTTACTGCTACATTTAATTTTTCACTGTTAGTGTCAAAATGCCTAAAATTTAACTGTTTCAAGTTAGAGAGCCCAAAAAAAGTATTAAGTGTTACCGAGGTACCCCCATTCAGACCGTGGTGCTATTTAACACCAGCAACACCGGCTTGAATGAGTAAAGTAAAATCTGGTTTACATGTTTTCCGAGTGGTTGTATTTGATGAACATAAGGCAATTGATGTCGTTATTACAGATCCCAAGGGAAACAGTTAGTTTTGTTTTCCCTCGAGTCCTGATGTTTCCCTCGACTTCGTCTCGGGAAACATCAGGACTCTCGGGAAAACAAAACTAACTGGTTTCCCGAGGGACCTGACATTAAGTATTTTGTTATATTTCTAGACTTTCACTTCAACAGAAACAAAAGAATAACCGGAGCGAACCAAAACAGTCGACTCGGTACTTATAACAACACAAATTTAATTCTCAAAACCACTGAATGAATGATTTACAAACAAAAGTACTTTCCTCATATTATTTGCATCTTTTTCCTCCACTAGCTGCTGTTTTTCTTCTAGGAACTTCTGGGATAACTTTAAAAATCGTTGCTTTTTAGCTTGAGGCTTCGTTTTTGTGTTGTTGTGTTCATTCACGAAAAAGAAAACCGGCTGGACCTGGCGGTGTTTTTCCCGCCTTCTGTCACGCCACTTTCCACCATGCTTTGATCACGTGCTGCAATGTATCCCGAGCGGGATACATTGTTTAATGTATCACGATTGGGATACATTTGATTTTAGTCAAGGCCACGTGACCAAGAATCAACCAATGGCAGTCCCTGTTTAGTTGAGTGAAAGTCTAGGAATATAACAAAAGATGTTATCAGTGCTCTGATATGGTGGGGAATCTATTCGACAATAGCGCCACACCGTAAAAATAAAATGGATTGGGTCAAAAAAAAAAAAAAAAATCAGCACATGGCTCGACGCTTGGCCAGAGAGAATATGTTTTCTTTGTCTCTAAGTTCATCGTCTGTGATGAGAGGTGTAAATCAGCTCTTGTTTACAGTTTTAAACTTTAGTAGTTCAATTTAACTGTCTTGCTTCTGGTAAAAGGTCATCCCAGCCTAGACTTGTTCGCGTGTCAAAACGTGAATGTTTATTAGGTACAGATTTTATTAGTTTTAAAGTTTATACTAAACACTTTGTCGTTGTAAGTTTTAACACAATCGTGTGTGACCTCAACTCGATTGCTGCTTGGAGATAAACACCGGCAAGGGGTGGTCACTGCCAGATCATATAAGTATATTACAAGTGCTTTGAGATCGTATTTTGTCGACCAGAGGGCCTAACCCTTTGCAGGTGGCAGCATCGGGTCAGATATCTTAAAACCATTAATGGTTGTCTGACAACCCGACAGCCACTCCAAAGTCGCCCAACCAACTAAAGCAAACTAACTTGGTCATCCATACTCCACTACGTCATCCACTGAAGAAAACTTTAACGGCAGGAGGTTGGGGCGGAGGTTCAGCACTGGAGTGATCAGCACATCAGAAGAAAGTTCTAAGGAGAAGAAAGAGAGAAGAACATTGAATATTGCTTGGATGATGGCGCAAAAATGTACATTGAAGAGCGGGCGAAAGCATGTTTATCTATCAAGAGAAGTTTAAATCCTTTCTTGTTTCTACATAGTTGACACTAGAGCAGATATAATTATATAACAGACCCGACGGTTGCTGAAGTCTCTATCAACATTTAAATAAAATATGATGAAGCCTTCCTGTGTGGATCTCTTTCTTGCCTTACATGCAGTGTGCCAGTGCGACGATGCGACGACTCCCGAATAAATAAAAAGTTACAATTCGTGCCTATTTCTTTACTTTTATTTTATGAGAGGCGAATTTTTATGCCCGCTTGAATACCTTATTTGCATGTTAAAAAATATAATATACAAATAAATATAAATTATGAAATAATAAATGGCATTTTAGCATAGTTCAAAACCCTTATAGGTGGTAAGAATGATTGATGATGTGATTACAATAGTTTTTTTTTTCCGTTGATAATTGACAGATCCAGCCGTCATACAAGGTCTTACTTCGTCCACGTCAATGTCTTGCATTGGGCACACTGTAACGTTAACTTGCAAGTCAGATGCTTTTCCAATACCAACGCTCACCTGGTACAAGCCTGATGGAACTAACATTAATGTGGTCAAAGCTACTGAGAGCACCGTTCTCTTGACAATGAATTCGAGTGTAGATTTTGGACTCTATAACTGCACAGCTGATAATGGGTTCGGCCTGACTTGCAAGACGGTCTATGTAGGGCAGATAGGTTAGTTGTTTAATAATGTTACGTTTTTGCTTGTCACGACCTTTAATACACAGCGTTTTTTGGACAGTTCTAATTCAACGTTTGGTAAACGCTTGTTTTAATAATATTCATATCTTAAACGTGATGCACTCTCAAAATAAATAACAAAAGGAAGATGAAACTGCAAACATTTCGGAAATGTTATTCGCATGATCACAATAGATGTTTTGTTTCTTTTTTGGAGGATTAGTATTGTGGGGTCAAATTCGCTTTAATCATGTTCTGCTAAAACATCCTAACAGAGGTAATTTTGGGGGGGAAGTGTGCACGGTGAACAGTTTTACTTATCATACTATTTCTCTATACTTTAAGGTATTCCAGAGGCCGCCTTAATAAAGGATTTACCTGTTGAGACAAAAAATGTGAAAGTGAATCTACAGTGGGAGGAGTCACAGAATAGTGGTGCGCCCATCACAAAGTACACTGTGTACCAAAGAATTGTAAATGATGGGAACACGTCGCACGAATGGGCTAAAGTACAGGATATAACTAGTGTCTCAGTTCGTGAAGTTGCTGTCGATTTAAAGATGGGTCGAGATTATGAATTTGTGGTCACTGCCTCAAACAAATGTGGTGAAAGTAAAAAACAAGAGGAAAAGATGAAGAGAATCTCAGTATTGGGAGGTACTACAAATCGTAATTAAATTTGCATTCATTCGTCTTTTTAAGAAGAAAGCTTTGATTAGATTTTGTTGGGCTTATTCCCTAACTATTGTCAACAATTCAGCTTTTGATTTTAGTTTTGGCATTACTTCCATTGGAACAATTGCAATTGAATTTGATTAATTTGATTTAATTTTAAAATCCATTTTCACTGTATACATTCTGTGAAAACACAGTACAAAGAGATCAGCAGGAAAGCTGGGAAATAACTTGCGTGGCAGGCGTTTGAAAGGGAAGGGAAAGGGAATCCTAGGCGCGAGAGAAACGCAAAGGGCGCGGGAGGAGGGAGGGAAAGAAACGCCTTCCAGCAGACCATTATATTTCTCTTTTTTTTTTTTAACATCAACCGGGCAAGTGTTAAAATACTGATTGGTCAGTCTTCAAAACATGTCAATCACAGCCTTAATACCTTAATCCGATTGGTTGAAATCAACATCACGCTACTGAGTAACTTAATCGATCTTTCAGTAATCATATAAAAATATGTTGTTAATGAAGGCATCAATTTCAGCTTGAAAGGAGAATAGAAGAAGACGGTTAAAAGAACCCTATGAAGAAAAAGACCCGTCAGCTAGATGAGGTTTACTGACTGGTTTTGAGAAGTGTCATCTCTCAACTAAACGGCTTGTTTTGCTCACTAGAAGAAAGAAAGGAAATATCCTGCTGCCTGTGGCTTGTTATCTGCTGTTTGACCTCAAACGCCTACTACGCAGCCGGGTTACGCTTTATCAACGACCAGATTGTTGACGATGATTTTTGGTTTGAAGACTTCTTCTTGCTGGTTATAGACGTTATAAAGCCGCCAGGAACTTACTTTGATAACTGATTGTAGCCTTCTTGTAGATATTCAAAGTTCAGCTCTTCTTTCCTCCGGCTACTAGCGTTCTTTTGTATGCTCTGTTGGATCCAATTCGAGAGCTAGAAAAGCTAGTTAATTTTTCACAGACAAACATAAAACATTGCATGCAAGTTGCGAAGTCCAGCGCGTTTCCTTCAGAAAACGACGTAACAGATTTATACTGGATTTTATATAACAAGCCATGCGTCGTTCCAACTTTCTTCTTTCAACGGACGACCGCATTTGAACTTTTTTTTTAAATATTATAGTACGTACCTTCACTTCATATTTCTTGTTTTGGGGAGAAAAAAGCTAAAAATAAGTGCATCGCGACCATTTGACAGCTAGTAATTCACAGTTGCGCTATTTTTACATTCATAAATAGTAGGCGGGATAGCGAAACAACGGTTTCCTGGCAGGCGTTTCCTTTCCTCCCTCCTGGCGCGCCCCGGGCCTCGCCTTTCTCTCGCGCCTAGAACTCCCTTCGCTTTCAAACGCCTGCCACGCAGGCTTGCTGGAAAAGGACTGGTAGGCTAGTCCACGGAATTTAAGAATAGATTTCAATGTATGAAAGGAAAGAAAAAGAAGTTGTCGGAAGAAGTAACGTATTTAAACTGTTAATTATAACTTTTAAAAAAGAAATCATACCAATGGTGCTTTGCCCAAACAACAGCGATCAGGTTCAAAGTCTCTAATCTCATTCTTGCAATACTTTCTGCAACGATTTCTGAATGCACTTGTCAGGTTTTAGTATTCACTCTCCAGCTTTTGGGATAAGTTATTCCATAACTATAAATAAGGAATTCTACTAAAATATTGTTACTTTTCTTAAGTAGTTTGGTATGGTTAAGGCGAAACATCGAAATTTTCATTAGACGAACCAACCTGGGCCGATTAATTTCATGAAAAAGTTTGACGTCTGTCTCAGTTAATTTCGTGCAAATGAGTTTGGACCAAGCAAATCGTTCTATCCGTCCGTTTCAGGTGATGATGTCTGATTGTTAGTTCATCGTCTGACCCAACAGACTAACCTAAGTTAACAAATTTAGGTTGACCCAAATTGCGATTCGGTTCGTCTCATGTAAAGTTCGGCGTGTGGCTTTGGCCTATTAGTTTGTAAAACGATAGAGAAATTTAAAATCACGTTTATGACAAACAGAAAACGTCAAACATCAATTTATAACACGTGATCTTCATTTATTGATTTTATTTATTTGTAGTTTAATCTTTATTACATTAACCCGAACACAAATGTCAACCTGAATCTGCCGTTTGCGTTTTGCCTTGAGTGCGATTCTAAATATAATAATACAGAGTTTCCCTAGGGATTAAAATAATTCCTTTGACATTAGGCCATAATGATTCTTTTATAGCTGATAGAGTAACGGTGGAATTGAAGAAGATGAAATTGTTTTTTCAAGTACGTATTTGTTTATTTCAATTAGTATTTATAAATTCAACGCGCAGCTTTCCTTCCTTTCTACGCAGATGTTCCTGATGCTGTCAAAGTAACTGATGGAATAATTCTAAAATGGAAAGAACCAGATAACAATGGGGCGGTAATAATAGAGTACTCCGTCTACCAAAGGTTTGCCAATGATGATGAGTGGAAGAAAATTGCAACCATAATTGATGTGTATAACCGATCTTATGCGGTTGAGATCGAGAAGGGGAAGGAATATGAATTTGTAGTAACCGCGACCAACAAGTATGGAGAGAGTTCAATGGAACAGGACATCAAGCGGATTAAAGTGTTAGATGGTAGGTGTATAAATAATTTAGCAAGTTTTCTCTGACAAGCACAACGAATACTGAACGTTGTCCTCGGTTGCACCAAGTTTCACCGTTATTGAAACGACAGACGTCGAACTCAACAAGCTTGTTCGTTAAGCCATTATTTTTGTGTTTTCTTTACCAAGAAAGTATATCGAATGGTCTTACTAGGCGAAGTTTGTGCTGTTTTCTTTAGTTCAACAAAGAACTGTAGCGTATGATAAATTACAGTAGCAAGAGAAACCTTTCGTATTTAGCGTAAACTTCTATTGTTTTTTTTTTTTTTTTTTGCGTTTTCAGGTTCGACAAAACCGCCCAAAAATCAAGCAGGTAAGCCATGTTAATATTCAGAATTCAATAGCAATCATCGATGACAAACATTTTCTAATAATAAATTACCATTCAGCGCAAGCAATCAATTTCACAAAATCATGCTCTGCAGTCGTTTCAACTTTAAATTAAAATGCAGTTTTGTCTCTTTCTTAAACTCATGTTTTACATTCTCAAAAGTTCCAGGGTCTGAGAGTAATAAAACGGGAGTCCTTCACGGTGCCTACATCAGTGTAATTCTGCTATTGTCGATCTTACTCTTTATTCTCATTGTTGTACTTTGGAAAATGCGCGTTCGTTCAGGTAAGAATTTGTAGTCAAGACTATATTCACGGTAACATATTGAGCCCCCTAATGACGTATCTTCTTTCGATGATTTTGAACCAAAGCTTTTAATGTGGTTGATTTCAGGAAATGTACACTTCTTTTAAGCCGTCCATGTTTATTGGTCTCTTATTACTTTAACTTTTGAAATCATCTATAACTTTAATTTTTGGGGGGCGAGGTGCATGGTTTGGGTCCCAAAAATAGTGCTGGTTAACCTTAGAATTTGCCAAAATCTCAACAGTCAACTAAAAATATTGTTTTTCTTTTCTTTTTTTTTTAATTTTTTGCTCAGATCTGGGGTCTGATTAAAGATGTCAGAACTGAAAAATGATGGTTGATTACAAAGTTAAGCACGTCAATAGTTTAGAGCGCAAACCAGTTTAGTGGTGTAGAAAAAAAGGACGCGTATGTACCTTAAAATTAATGATATTTGTCTACATACACTTATGTTCTCACCGTGAACCAAATGACCCTTTTGAGATGATAATAACCTAACCCAACTTACCGACATCATATCGCCTTTATGTCGTCTCAAAATCGAATTTAGGGCTCTTTACTTCCAAAAGAACCGGAATACCCCAAAAAGGATCATTGTAAGACAATGCCACGTCTTTAACCTTCTTGTGAGAGAACTATGACAGAAAGACCAGCATTGGATGCGGCGGGGCCCGGGGTGGGACTGTACTTAACTTTTCGCACCATTGGCGAAAGACTGCATTTGTTAAAATTGTTTGAAGAAGGTGACTTTCTAAGAAAAGTGCTGTTTATTTCAGGCTTGATACATTCAAATCAGTAAGTATCCATTTTTATGTTAATATTTTAAATAAGAAGTGTTTGTTAACTCCCTAGTGAGCAGTAAAAACCAGTACAATCCTGGGTACAAAAAAAAACCCATTACTTTGACACGAATTTCCACTACTTTAAGCTTCGTAAAGTTCTCCTCCGTAGTGTATTTATTGGACATTGTTTTGATGTAAGGTGTGCATTTACATAAAATTGAGAAATATTTGGCAATAATATCAAATGATTCGACTTTTCTGTTGGTAATCCCATTACGTTTTTATTGGTTAGTAAGATCAAAATGATGGAATGCTATTGAACGTTGTGCACCGTCATGGGTCCATAAAAACACATAACAAAGGAGTCTGACGGATTTCATAACCATTCCAATCTATTAACTATGTTAAAACCGAAAAAGTTTTGAAACAAAGTTTGTCATAGTTCAATGCAGAAAATGAAGCCACTTTAAACAAAAGCTATTAGAATGAATAAATGCATTTAATTCTGTTAAAATACCGCTGACTTTGAAGCTCCTTTTTTTTTACTGAGAAAACCAAATATCACACAAACTGCGGACTAACTCTCTCTCCCTCTCTCTCTCTCTCTCTTTTTTTTTTTTGCTAAATTGCTTCAAAACGAGTCCAAAAGCTAAGTTGCGCCTTTTTCTACCCACAAAAAAACATGTCTAAATCAGGATGTTGCAGGTTGCAAAACGTTTTTGCAAAAAGGAGTCATAGAACTACTTTCTAAAACCTGTAACAGCGTGACTTGTTTAAGAGCGGTTTGATTCGTAGTTGAACAGGCGTGCAACATCGCATTTTAACTCGTTTTCCACCAATAATATACAACATCTCGCGCATTTTCGTTGTTTTACACCAAACGCTCAGTTCATAAAACCTCTCTGAAAGACTTTTATGAAGTGGGAGTTGCTTCCATCAAGCTTTCTGAAAAGCTTGATGGAAACATTCGTACTGGTTTATCCTAACTCTAACTATCACACCAGTACAAACAAGAGAACATTCCAAAAAAAATGATTTAACTACCACATTCAAACTTTTATTTTAGAGAACAGGAGGGCGGAGAAACCATTCCATTGGTAGGTGATCATCGTGTAGGTTAAAATAAAAAGATAATTGACATCCATGAAATTAAAGCTCTTAAGCGTTTAAAAGCGCTAAACTTTAAAGATTTAATACTGTTATTGACTCTCTTGTTTTTTCCTTTTCTCTTCCAGTCTGCTTTCTTAAAACATTATACCCTTCTATATTTTAATTAATGCTAAGTTTAAATTTGGTCCTTTTTTTGAAACGTTGTGTGCTGTATTCAAAGTTAAAAGATCTAAAACACATTGGATGCATGCTAGTAGCCGGTTTAAGGCCATTTCCTCTGATCTTTTCCGTACCCTCTTAATTCAAGCTCGAGGCCCCCGTGGGTTTTAATTTTCGCGCGGCAATAAAAGAAAAGGTCTCCAGTGTTTCGCCTACTTCCGGGCAGGTATTAAATTCGTTAAAGAAAAGCAAATAATATTTCCCTAACAACTGTTGTTAGCAAAAACTCGTACAAGCTGTAGAGCCAACAGAACAACCATCAAGGGCAGCAGAGCAAGCTGACAATTTTACTAACGAGATTCCGGGAGGGAAGATTACATGCCTCTTCGTCCCTCGCGAAGAAGCT